CGTCGCCGCCGCCGCCGCCGCCGCCGCCGTCGGCGTTACCGCTGTTTTTTTCGTCGTCGTAGTCGTCGTCGTCGTCGTCGTCGTCGTCGTGTCGTCGTCGTCGTCGTTGTGCTCGTCGTCGTCGTCGTCGTTGTCGTCGTCGCCGCCCCGTGTTCCTCTTTCGTCCTCCGTCTTCGCCGCCGCCGCCGCCGCCGTCGTCGTCCTCGCCCCCGTCCCGGTTCCCACCATCCTTGTCCTCATCCCCCACGCTCTCCATCTGTTTGCCGGCCGAGCCGAGCCGGCCGACCGCGTCGGGGGCGAGGGACGGGAAATGGCGGAAGAGGGGGGAGAGGAGGGAAAAGAAGGGGGGGGCAAGAGTACGCAGGGGTGGCAGCGGCAGCGCGGCAGAGGCGACGGGGAGACGACGAATAGCCCAAGTAATCCGCGCAAGAACGACGGTGTCGCACTCCATGTGGGAATGCGTCCGGAGGACGAGGCGGCGGACGGGGGGGAATCATTTTGCGCCATCGTGCCAGAGGTACACCAGAGAACTGCCGACGCAGAGGCACTTGCGCGAGAGTAGCCGGAGGCACCGCGGACCGGAAAGAGGGGGGCAGAATGGAACGAAGGGAGACGAAGGGTGCAGTGGCAAAAATCGCCCAATCCCCACCGTGGGGCCGATCTAGCTTGATTCTGGACGTGGACAAAACTCTGCAAGCTGGGCGAGCAGCGCTCGATGGCGAAAAAGTTGCCATGCGTGCTCTGACGTAGAGGGAGGGGCGTGGGTGGACGAGGAACGGAGAGGACGCCGTGGGAATGTCGGACGTTTGTTGGAAGGGGAAAGAGGGAATGCGCGGAAAAAGGGCATTGCGTTGTCGGGGAGGAGGAAAGGGGGTGGAAAGCAGGAAGACTGGGGCAAACGGGGGGAGCAGGGAGGGGTGGGGTTCAAGTGAGATGGAGCATGGCGAAGAGAAAGATGAGGAACGGTGTCTGTGTACGATCTGGAAGCGGAATCTGCCGAGGAGGTGTCTTGGGTCGGCAAGAGTGGCGGCGCCCGCAAACTGCGAAGAGAGTGCATATAGCGGGGCGCAGCTTGGATGGAAAAGTGGCGCCTTAGAGCCGGTCGGGACGACACTACATGGGCGTCGCGGGCTCACCGAACGTAGTATGCATGCGCTTAGCGGCTATGCCCTGCAGATCTGGGTCGAAGTCGTCCAGCTTCCTCTTGAGGGTGTGGGGGGGCGTCTTGAGGAGCTGCATCGTGGCCTGCATCTCGGCCGTCCAGGGGTCGAAGGACATGCCAGTGGGCTGTTTCCACATGTCCGCGACGGTGAGGACCTTCGCGGCCACGTCGATGTGGGTCACGCGCACGAGAGCTACCTCCTTCCGCGGGAGCGCGTAGTATGCCAAACGGCTTGCGGGAGCAGACGTCACAGTTTCCCACTGCTGGTCCATGTGGTCGCCGCACGCCTCCGTGACGAAGTTGCGAATAGCGAAGCCGTCGGCGGCGGGCTCCGTCTTGGGCTCTTTGGCGCCGACGATGAGCGCGAGGATGCCGCTGGCAAGACGTCGTCCACCTTCTCCTGGGAGCGCGATGCCGATGAGGCCCGTGGGGGACTGGGACGCCCAGGTCAACTGCACGGGCACTAGGCGCGCGTCGCTCGGGGGGACGAGGTTGGGCTCAGGCACGTCGAAGTGCCGGCACTTGGCGGCCACGACGCTCAGCGAAGGCACGGTGCTCCCCGCGGGTGTGTCGAACCGCACGCGGAGGCGCGCTCTTGTGAACGCGAGACTGCCAGAGGTCGCCTGCTGGAGGAATTCGTCCTTGTCCTTCGTGTCCGTGAGTGTGAGTGCGACGCTCTCAGGCATGTCGGCAGTGACGGTGTTGGCAAAGTCCGTGATGTCCACCTTGGCCCAGATGCGAGTCTTGTCCTTGGTGAGGAGGTCCGCGGCGTCTGCGCTTTGCAGGGAGACCAGGGCGCCGGTGATCTCAAAAAGCGTGTGGGATAACGCGCGCTTGAAGTGCGTGGCGCACTCCAGGATGCCAGTGTGGGCGCTGCATGCCGCCCCGTCCTCCCAGTTGCCGCCGCTTTCCCACTTGGATAAGTATTCTTTTTTTTCGGCAGGAAGGGCTTGCACATTGCTGTCTCCAAGCGCGTGGGCAATGGGCCGGGCGCCGGACGCCGGCACCGCGAGCCTCTCCTTCCGGGCGGTCAAGTGGCGGCCGCCGGAGCTCTCCACCACGAGGTATACATTGTATACGTAGAGTGGCTTGAACGTGTCGATGTCCCCTGCCAGATGCCGGGTGTCGTCTCGGAAAATGAGCGGTATCTCTATGCCTGATGCATTCGACAGGGTCACCTTGACGTTGGACTTGCCCTCCGTCGCGCTTGTGGAGCCCGACACATTGGTAGCGACGGCTGTGACGTCGACGAGCTGGCTGGTTTCCAACTCGAGTAAGTCGAAGGTGGTCATCGGCGGCTCCGCTTCTGAAGGGAGGGTGTTGGCAGCGGCGCCGGTGATGAGCTTGGACACGAGCGGCTTGTGACCCAAGTTGAGGACGAATGCGTGGGGGCAGGACTGGAACTGCGGCTTCTTCACTAGCATCTTCATCTTGGTGAACTCGTGCACGCCGTCCTTCTTGTACTTGTTCGTGAGCGCCGCGACTGCCTTACCGCGCTGTTGCGGCGTGCCGAACAGAACGGCTTCGCCCTTCGTGTACAGTCCGGATTGTGACACCAGCGTGCAGGAGAACACGTGCATGTTCTTGTCCGGAATCTCCTTGCTGGCGGGAAAGAGGACGCGGGCTTGCAAGGTCTTGCAGGCCGCGTTCGTGTTGTTCAGCTGCTCCAGGGGGTCCGACATCGCGCCGCCGCGTGAAAGCGCGGGGGGGGGCAAGAGCGAACCAGCAAGGGAGGTGAGTCACACGGCTCGAGCAGCAATGGCGTCGGACAGGGCGACTCGAAGAGGCGTTTGGGAGCAAGTGAACCGCGCGGCGGCCTCCGCCCTCGGCGTGGCAACGAGGCAGCTGGAAAGTGAGGTGGCGTTGGTTGCGGGGATGGCAGGTGCGGCGGCATCGGCGGAGTCCGCCGCTGCGGCCGTTGGGACGGGTGTGTCGTCTCGTGTGTATGTCGTGGCGTGGGCAGCACTGTTGTAGTCGGCATGGTGTCGCGACGGCTTTGGAACGTGGTGTGTGGGTGCCAGTACGTTGCAGGATGGAGGAGGGAGAAGCAAGGAAGAGGAGGTTGACGAGGAGGGGGGGGATGACAAGAAGACAGGGGGGGCCCAGCGTCTGGACGACGCTGGCGACGACGACAGCGGGGACGACGACGACCAGGAAGGACGACAACAGGAGCATCCGAGGTGAGGACGTGTTTAAGCTTAGAGTCAGGAGGAGGTATCGGGCGGAACTCGCCGGATCACTTCGCGCGCGCTGTGGTCCTAGAGTTGCGAAGATGTTGTAAGCGAAACTCACGATCGATACGACCATGCGCCCACTGTCGATCTCACGGTCGAGCTCACCATCGATTTCTCCACGGATGTGTGTATCGAGCTCACTAGCGACCGAACTGTCCGCCCCGTGCCCATGGCGACTGATATCGCCAGCAAAGCTGGTGAGCGCATGGAATAGGAAAGCGGAGCAAGTCAGTGCACAACGTAGCACCTCTCACGCGGCATTTGTGAGCGAAGAGATGCGGCAATGTCCCCGAAAAGCAGGCCGGGTCATCTGAGGGCAAGGCATATCTTGGCCCAGAGTGGCGCGGATGTCGGCTAGAGTTGGGAGGGTGTCCCAGGAGAATTTGGCCAGAGCACTTCTCCGCGGCATCTCAGAGCCCAGAGATGCAAGGACGTCTCCGAAGGAGTGGGCGGGGTCATCTCAAGTGACGCATTTCTGGGCCCTGAGTTTCGAGAATGTCGCAGGCCAGACTGGAGACACCACCAGGGAGCCCATCGGCGTGATGACGCTGGCGACGACGACGGGGAGGACGTCGACGACGAGGAAGGACGAGGCTGGGCGGGACCACCCGAGGTGAGGACATTGCGTAGAGTCTGTAGGATTTATCGGGCGGAACTGACCAGATTACTTCGCGCACAGCATGTCTGAGCCTACAGTTGTGAAGAGGTCGTGGGCGAAACTGGCTAGGTCACCCCTTCCGCGGCATCTTTGAGCCCATTGATGCGAGAATGTCTCAGAAGGAACGGTCTGGACGATATCAGGGCAGGGCAGCCAAGGTCCCAGAGTTGGGAGGACGTTGCAGGCGGAACTCACCATGGATCTGACCAGGAACCTCGCTGTTGATCGCACTGTCGATCTGAGAATTACTCTCACCATGGATGTGTCTGTCGAGCCCATTTGCGATAAAACTAGTGGTCTCCCTACCCGAAGCATGACTGACCTCACCAGCAAAGCCCGTCAGAGCATGGGATAGCGTAGCGGAGCAGATCATTGCACAGCGCAACATCCCAGAGGTGATTTGAGAGCATCTGGGAGCGGGGAGTCGCGAGGATGTCTCGTGGGAAACGGGCTGGACCATGTCGCGCGCAGAATGTCCGAGCTTAGAGTTGCGAAGGTGTCTGGGGGAACAGTGGCCAGACCACCTCTCCCGCGGCATCTCGGAGCTCACAGATGCGAGAATGTCTCCGAAGAACCGGCCGAGTCATCTCAGGGCAGAGCATCTCTGGGGCCAGAGGCGGGAGGATGTCGCCTGGAGTGGCGAGGGGGTCGGAGGCAGACGGGCGACACGAGTTCATGGCAGAGCATGTCGGATCCCAGAGGTGCGAGGGTGTCTCGTGCGAAACAGGCACGGCCAATCTCGAGTGCAGGCCTAGAGCTTCGTTCGAGTCTCAAGCAGGCCTGGGTAGACGACGTCGCGCGCTGATTCTCCGAGCGTGGAGGCGAGAAGGTTTCTGACGCCAAGCTGGCCGGACTTCTGGAGGTCAGGGCATCTGCAAACACAGAGTTGCGAGGATGTCTCGTGCGAGTGTGGGTGGGCCACCTCCGAAGTTTGAGGATGTCCGTGTGCACGGGTCCCCTGGCAGGAACTCGTCTACGAGCATGCCTGCTTGGCCGTGCGATGCACCGACGACAACGACGACGACGACGACGACGACGACGACGACGACGACGACGACGACGACGACGACGACGACGACAACGACGCCGACGCCGACGCCGACGCCGACGCCGACGCCGACGCCGACGCCGACGCCGACGGCGACGACAACGACGACGACGACGACGACGACGACGACGACGACGACGACGACGACGGGAGGGGGGAGAGGGCAAGGAAGAGGAGGTTGACGAGGAGGGGGGGGGATGACAAGAAGACAGGGGGGGCCCAGCGTCTGGACGACGCTGGCGACGACGACAGCGGGGACGACGACGACCAGGAAGGACGACAACAGGAGCATCCGAGGTGAGGACGTGTTTAAGCTTAGAGTCAGGAGGAGGTATCGGGCGGAACTCGCCGGATCACT